TAAAAACAAGTAAAATCGCTCTAAAACAAGGGTCATTGGCGACTGGGTAACAAAGTAAGGGCAACATTTTCAAAAAATAGGTTTGGTCTTATATTTAGGTCCATTTCTTCTAAGTCTAGGGTAAGTTTCTTAAAACTAGGACGATTTTTTTGTTTTCAAAGTTTTCAAATACCCTTTACATATGAAATAAGGAAAAACGGATGGATCAATCGATAGGTATTGACAAGACCAATAGATTTCAGTTAAAATTTCGTATCTAGCTTGAAAATTGTGGGCGCCACAGGCTTGGGCGGCTTGTGGGCGTTAGAGTGGGAGTGGCACATTTGCGTAACAAACTTGCGCTGCGTACAAGGCTACGGAATCTAAATCTGAAATCCAAATTCTCTATCTTTGATAGTTTCCGAGATATCCGCAATCATACTTACGATTTTTTGAGTTATGTGGCGGTTTGTGGGCGTTAAAGTGGGCGTGGCAAACTTTTTTTAGGTCAATCGATAGGTATTGATGAGAGCAATACATTTTAGTTAACATTTATATTCTAGCATCAAAACTGTACGAGCCACAGCTTTTGGCTGATTGTGGGCGTTTGAGTGAGCGTGGCACCGGGCTAAAACAAACTTGCTCTGCTCAAGAAGCTCAGGAATCTGCATGCCAAATCCCAATAGCCTAGCTCCTATAGTTCGCGAGATCTCAGCATTCTTACGGATAGACGAACATGGCTAGATCGACTCGGCTAGTGATCCTGATCAAACGGTTCCTTCGTGCTTGGACATGTTTGCTGCTTCTCGGCAAACATTTTGTTTATTACTTTTCCAGGAATTTTTTAATACCCTTGCAGAGGGTATTATGATTTTAGTTAGAAGTTTGCAACGCAGTGAAGGAGACGTTTCCGACCCCATAAAGTATGTATATTCTTGATAAGGATCACTAGATGAGTCGATCTAGCCATGTCAGTCTGTCCGTCCGCATCTACGCAAACTAGTCTCTCTGTTTTAAAGGTATCGGGCTGGAACTTTCCCAAAAGTCTTATTTCTTTTGCAGGTAGTATATAAGTCGGATCCAGCCGGATCGGACAACTATATCTTATAGCTCCCTTAGGAATAATCAGAAAAAAAAATTTCAAAAAATTATTTCTTTGGTGTTTTTTAACATAAAAACTCCTACGCTTGGAAATAAAATTTTTTAAATAGTTCTGAATTTCGAATTTAATTTTATCAAAATCGGACGCTTATATCATATAGCTGACATGCGAACGATCAAAAAATTGGTGGGAAAATAATATTAAACAAATTATAACTTCGGTGTTTTTATACCCGTTATTCGTAGAGTAAAAGGGTATACTAGACTCGTTGGAAAGTATGTAACAGGCAGAAGGAAATGTTCCGACCCCATAAAATACGTATATTCTTGATCAGGATCACTAGCCGAGTCGATCTAGCCATGTCCGTCTGTCCGTCTGACCGCCTGTCTGTCCGTCCGGATCAACGCTGAGATCTCGGAAACTATAAGAGCTAGGCTATTAAGATTCATGACCTTCTTACGCAGCGCAAGTTTGTTTCAGCAGCGTGCCACGCCCACTCTAACGCCCACAAACCGCCCACAAACTTCAAAAAGTCGTTAATATGAATGCGGATATCTCGGAGACTATCAAAGATATAGAATTAAGATTTCAGATTTAGATTCCGTAGCCTTGTGCGCAGTGCAAGTTTGTTACGCGAAGATGCCACGCCCACTTTAACGGCCACAAACCGCCCAAATCTGTGGTGCCCACAATTTTTAGGCTAGATAAAAAATTTTAACTGAAATGTATTAGTCTCGTCAATACCTATCGATTGACACAAAAAAAAAACCACAGTCTTAGGTGGTTTGTGGGCGTGGCCAACTTTTTTTTTGTGTCAATCGATAGGTATTGACGGGACTAATACATGATAGTTAAAATTTTTTACCTAGCATGAAAATTATTCACGCCACAGGCTTGGTCGGCTTGTGGGCGTTAGAGTGGGTGTGGCATATTCGTGTTACAAACTTGCGCTGCGTACAAAGCTACGGAAACTAAATCTGAAATCCCAATTCTCTATTTTTGATAGTTTCTGAGTTATCCGCGTTTATATTAACGATTTTTTTAAGTTTGTGGGCGGTTTGTGGGAGTTAAAGCCGGCGTGGCACCCTTGTGAAACAAACTTGCACTGCGTAAAAAGCACAGAAATCTATATACCAAATCACAACTTTCAAGTTCATCCGGACGGACGGACAGACGGACATGGGTAGATCGACTTGGCTAGTGATCCTGTTCAAGAATATACGAGTATATACTTTATGGGGTCAGAAACGCTTCCTCCTACCTGTTACATGCTTTCCGACGAATCTAGTATACCCTTTTACTCTACGAGTAACGGGTATAAAAAGTTGGCATCCTAGAAACATAAAGCCTAAAATATATTTTCAATGGCGATTTCCCCTATATTTAGGGCGAATTTTTCTAATATTAGGGCGATTTCTATATTAGTTCGATTTTTTTAGTATTTAGAAAAATAATTTTATGATTGTGGTTACACGTAAAATAATCGAAAAATCCATTGGTTCCTAAAACGCGAATGGCACAAAGTTCTAGAATTCACATCTTTGCCGGCGGTCAAATTAAAATGTTAGAGTGGGTGTGGCATATTCGTGTTACAAACTTGCGCTGCGTACAAGGCTACGGAAACTAAATCTGAAATCCCAATTCTGTATTTTTGATAGTTTCTGAGTTATCCGCGTTTATATTAACGATTTTTTGAAGTTTGTGAGCGGTTTGTGGGCGTTAAAGCCGGCGTGGCACCCTTGTGAAACAAACTTGCACTGCGTAAAAAGCACAGAAATCTACATAGCAAATCACAACTTTCAAGTTCATCCGGACAGACGGACAGATGGACATGGCTAGATCGACTTGGCTAGTGATCCTGTTCAAGAATATACGAGTATATACTTTATGGGGTCAGAAACGCTTCCTCCTACCTGTTACATGCTTTCCGACGAATCTAGTATACCCTTTTACTCTACGAGTAACGGGTATAAAAATTTGGCATCCTAGAAAAATAAAGCCTAAAATATGTTTTCAATGGCGATTTCCCCTATATTTAGGGCGAATTTTTCTAATTTTAGGGCGATTTCTATTTTAGGTCGATTTTTTTAGTATTTAAAAAAAATTTTTTTTTAATGTGGTTACACGTAAAATAATCGTAAAATCCATTGATTCCTAAAACGCGAATGGCACAAAGTTCTAGAATTCACATCTTTGCCGGCGGCCAAATTAAAATGTAAGTTTTTTCAGAAAGATAAATCAAACAATAATACCTCTTAACGAGATAAAAATCTAGTGACGATCGCACCTTCAACAAACCAAAGTTCTGATACCTACTAGACTTACACATACATCATCTAAACTTTCTAGGACCTTAAAATAGAGTTTGAGTACTCACAAAAAAGTTGAATGGTCTGGCAATGTCAGATGTCCTGAACTGGTAAATGTGGCACACTATGTTGTCGTGACTTTTTAAAACCACGTGTCGTATGTTAAAAGTTGAGGAATCTCAAGCCTAAACCCTTCAGGATTAATCCAAAAACGGAAAAACCGTTTTTAAAAAATCCAAAAAAAAGTCGGAATAAAAGAAGCTTTGACTATAATTTTTTACGTTGGTATTTAGACAAATATTGTTAGAAAAGCTTGTTTATAGCTGTTTTTCCGCCAAGCTAGCGAGTTTTTACAAAAGTGGTAGAACTTTTATTAAGCTGTTGAAATTAATTTTCAGGACCCTAAAGTACCGTTTCAAGACATACTGACAAACAAAATAAAATATTCATTTTGAGAAGTCCCCCAAAATCTTTGTTTGCGAATTACTTTTGAACGGAGCATATGATTTTAACAAATATGGAGTTATTCGAATCGCATTTTTAGTGAGATTATAACTAGATTAATGAACTTGTGAATTTATCCCCAACATATCAAGTTTTCTAAATTTTTACATTTACACTTTCACTGTTCTTTCTCCCAAGCCAACTGAATTTTTAAAAGTCTTGATATGCAATTCTTTTAGTTTTTCGATTGATGTATCACTCGTAACGATCGAACGATCACAGTAGATTTTCATTTCTTCGTGTATATATAGTAGTCGCCTTCGCAAACTCTCGTGGTGCGCTTCGACATTATGTGGACTGTCCACAGTGATTATTAAATAACGAAAATTGTCAACATTCTCTATCACTCTCCCCGGCAGTTCTCATTTATAGCGTTAGTTACTTGTGTAACCACAGGCACATGCGCGCGCATACTTAATATTCAAACCACATTTTAAAAACCCTAACATCGTAGCACACATACTAGCCTAAGATTGCTGAAAATGTTCCATCAAAATATATACGCGTATACAAAAATATATCACGAATGCATATGTTTTTATTGTTAGAAAATATTTATATTTTTTAGAACAATTTTTTGGGCATTAAAGAATTGTTTTCTCTTTTGAAAAAAATTGGTCTCTAATTAAGTAAAATCAACCCTACAGTTTCGTAAAAATTACCCTATAAAATAGAAAATATCTTATCCTAAAACTTAAGGCGAGCCTCTATATACGGCAGGTCGCTCCGGGTCGAGGCGGGAGCAGGTTAGTAGGGCGCTCTTAAGAATGAAAAGCAAACAGCGGACCACACGCAGGGCCCCTCACCCAATGGAGGGATAGATTGACGAGCGGACGGTCGCTAGTATCTTCGTTACGGTCTGCTTCCAGTCGAGAATTCGCGATCGCGTTTGCCTCCCCCTCTGTCTTTGCACAGTGGCCCAAAAACAATGACGGGTTTCTGATCTAAAGTCATCCGCGTGCATAGAAACTTGCGTGTTTGGAAATAATTTTCTAGTCAATGTCTTAGCATGCAGTCGGTGGTTTATCTGATTAATAAAAGCCAAGACATCGCAGAAACTCCAAGCCGCAGTTTTAGCCGCTGGCCTCAATGGATAACTGGCTTACCTATAATAATCGCTTTTGCAATAAATGTTGCCATCTCGTGAGTAGCATGAGGACTCCCGTTCCAACGGCTGCCGGCAAACATAGCACTGTAAGCATCTGGCGTGCCATCGTTTTTCCACAGCGGAGAGGTAGAATCGATCCTAGGAATATGACAGACAATTTTTTGTAAATAACGTATGCATTTGATGAAAATGTAACAAGAAGAATCGATAAAGTCGAGTCCTTTGACTATCAGATCCCCGTAACCGTGTTTCGAATTTCAATTAAAAGAAAGTCATTTTTTCTTAGCGCACACACCACACATGGCAGCGCCACGGCACCACGCGGACGGTAGCAGTACTACTAACCATGCCAAAGCCTGTTGAACTTAGTAAGTTACAGCTATTAAAACAGCAATCCAGTTCGTACGAACAAAAAATCAATTTCAATTTAAACTTTTACAAAATCTTCAAAAATGTGACGGACGGACGGACATGGCTAGATCGACTCGGCTAGTGATCCTGTTAAAGAATATATATACTTGCCAGTTAATAAATATGAAAAATATAATAAAACAAAGGAAGAACGCTATAGTCGAGTACCTCGAGTACAAAGGGAAAGCAAAGCGAGATTGAAATGCGCAACCTACCCGTGATCTCAATAACTAGCATCAAAACTGTAGGAGCCACAGTTTTGGGCGGCTTGTAGGCGTTAGAGTGGGCGTGGCACATTGCTGAAACAAACTTGAGCTGCGCAGGAATCTCAGGAATCTGCCTGCCTAATCCCAGTATTGTAGCTCTTACAGTTTTCGAGATCTCAGCGTTCAAACGGACAGACGGACATGGCTAGATCGACTCGGCTAGTGATCCTGGTCAAGCCTGTTACATATTTTCCGACGAATCTAGTATACCCGGGTATAGTAATAAGCCGATTAAATTAATTTGGCATGTATATGGGTATTGATAGTAAAAACAAAGTCACAGTTAAATATTTACAAAATATTTAAAATGAGGGCTCTAGGCGGGTTTTAGCGCTATATACATTTGTGGGCGTTAGATTGGGCGTTGCAATATGGCTGTTATATATTGATGTTCGACCTAACCAAATAATAATTGTATTGCTCATCAATTATTTAAGATGATATTTTAAGAAAACTGAACTGAGCCGTATTATTACAAAATGGAAAATGTGAGGCCATACATGCCCCAAAAATTGGGTATTTATAAAAAAAAGTTGTATGTTTACTCATGATAATAATAATTTGTTTATTTTAATTTATCTCCATATTAATATTGAATATTCCTAAAAAATTCCGCGCGAGAATCCGATGCGTTACTTATGACTTAAACTTACACGCTTGCGCGTAACATGGTGCGATGGCTCAAAGGGTAAGGCGTCTGCCTCTGAAGTGAGTGGACCCCGGTTCAGAACCCGCTAGTGCCGGTAAGTCGAACGTTTTTAGGATACATTATATATTATTCGAAAAGAAAAATAGAATAGAATATATTGAGCAAGGCTCGAAATTCGAAACCCGAGAACAAAAAAGTGCCGGGACGCTCCACTTATCCCCCTGAGCCAAGCCCATATGCTTTTATATCTTGGAAAAATGCTTTTGTAAGTTCCAAGAAACTATTTTTGTACTACATATACTATTTTTATACCCCCTTCCTTCCCCCTGAATACCTGTGGTTAATCAAAACAAACCTGTTGCTTCTGCGCCGCCTATCGCATAAAAGAGTCCGTCAAATTTGGATGTGCAACTTACTGAGAACGGAAAAACCTTATGGACCATCCGTTCAACAGATGGTAGATGGATCTTTGTGGGAAGACGCTATTAGGCACCCAATTACCTAAAACCTAGGCCAAAATTGCTTACATTTTAGGTCATTAGTGACCTAATATTTTAGGTGATGGAGTCTTAAATTGAAGGCCATACATGGACTAAGCTCCAGGTTTGGGCCAATTTTACCTAAATTCTATGCAAGTTTTGGACAGTTTAGGTCATTTGTTTTTATGGGTATACTAACAAAATTGCAATACGATACTCCACTGCAAAGTTATGCATTTTCAAATTAAGACAAAAAAGTATGTTTGTGTTACAGTCCTGGGATAATTGTTGTCGTATTAAACATATTGATCTAAAAAACATTTGTTCTACAACATTTGCAAAACCCGCTAGCCTAGCGGGAAAAAAGCTAGAAATGGCTAAACTTACTATATAAGGGGCTGTCCATGTATTGCGTGCTCATTTGTTGTCAGGCAAAAGGTTATTGTTATAAGACAAGTAAATATATTTTTTTAAATTATTAAATGGGGGAGGGGCGTTCAAAGATCGTCAAAAAATGTTATTCTCAGCCCGTTAAGCGTTTTGGCACGCTTTTTCCCACGTAACACTACTTTCAAAGAACAAAGTATTTGTCCAAATGATTACGAAATATATGGACAGCCCCTAAATGGTAATATAGTAAGTGTGGTTGAAAATGACACTTTACCTAGGAAAAAATCATTGGGATCAATTTGATCCTAAATAAGTATCAAAAGTATACTACATTGTATGAAAAATCCTATTAGACCCTAAATAGTGTCATTTTGACAACAATCTTAGATACTTCGATACCAATATAAGCTTTTTTTGATTATTAGAGTTTCGAACTGCGCTCAAGTATCAGTTGTGCGATTGAGCAGTTGGTAAAGTGTCTGTCTCTGATGCAAAAGGTCCCCGGTTCAAGTACGCGCCGATGAGAAGTACGCTGTAAGATTTTTATACCCGTTACTCGTAGAGTAAAAGGGTATACTAGATTCGTCGGAAAGTATGTAACAGGCAGAAGGAAGCGTTTCCGACCCTATAAAGTATATATATTCTTGATCAGGATCACTAGCCGAGTCGATCTAGCCATGTCCGTCTGTCTGTCCGTCCGGATGAACGCTGAGATCTCGGTAACTATGAGAGCTAGGCTATTGAGATTTGGCGTGCAGATTCCTGAGCTTCTTACACAGCGCAAGTTTGTTTCACTCTAACGCCCACAAACCGCGCAAAACGGTGGCTCCTACAGTTTTGATGCTAGAATAATTTTAACTGAAATGTAATGTTCATCAATACCTATCGATTGACCCAAAAAAAAGTTTTTCACGCCCACCCTAACGCCCATAATCCGCCCACAAACTTAAAAAAATCGTAAATATGAACGTGGATATCTCGGAAACTATCAAAGATAGAGAATTGGGATTTCAGATTTAGATTCCGTAGCCTTATACGCAGCGCAAGATTTTTACGCGAATATGCCACGCCCACTCTAACGCCCACAAACCGCGAAAACCTGTGACGCCCACAATTTTTATGCTAGATAAAAAATTTTAACTGAAATGTATTGGTCTCGACAATACCTATCGATTGCCACGCCCACTCTAACGCGCATAGATATAGATATTTTTTTTTGTGTAAATTACATATCAAAGGTTTTCCATATACAATGCTAATGTTCGATAAATGGATTAAAGCTTTACTGTTCAAAGTATATACTGTTATAAGTATATTTAGATTGGAGATTGTTTAAAACACCATGAACACCATGTTCATTTTATTTAATTGGAGATTGTTTATTTTCATTTTATTTAATTGTTAAAAAAAAGAACGGTTGCATAAAAAAAAAAAATTGTTCCCAGTCGGAGTTGAAAAACTCCGACCTGCAATTCCCGCGGTTGAGCGACTAGACTCCTGGCCTACAGGCCATTGACACCTAGCGTTGGTCAAATGCGACATTGAGCCCTTGTTGCAGCAGACCACACGAAATGATACACCAACACAACCAAGGAGCTTAACACGGACAACGCACACTAGCAAGATCGAAAATCCACGTCGAAATCGACACCAAAAATTTTGACGTACATTCCGATGTATGGCCGTAACTCATCTTGTAGCTTATACTATCTTTGGTGTTACACTCATAAAATTATTTTTCTAAATACTAGAAAAATTAACCTAAAAAAGAAATCACCCTAAGATTTAAAAAAATCGGCCTAAATGTTTGGAAATAAAGCATATTTTTAAGTGTTATTTTTTTTATTATTCAAGTCGAATTTTTCCGAGCATATGCTATTAATATTTTTTCGTGTTTAGGGCAAAATCGCCATATTTCGTAGAACAAAAAGTCATCTAAAATCGCCGTTGAAACTACAAAATCGACTTTGTAATTTGATAATCGGTGGCCTATCGGTCTAGTGCGTTGAACTTTAAAACTAATCAAAATGGCGTGGCCTCGAACCCACAAAGAGTCAACATTTATTTGTATTTTTTGAGCAAGTTTTAAGAATTTAATTCTTAAACAATAAAATGTAAATAAACAAAAAATATAAACAAAAGAATGTATAGTATATTAAAAAAACAGTGTTTTCATGTGTTTAGTTTAATTGGGTAAAAAAACATAGTTTCTTGTCATTAGTGAGAATCTTTCTTAGAATAAAATCGACAATTATTACATGGAGATATGAACCCTTTTTGCGTGTCACCCAGCGCGATGTGTCTGTGGTGCAGCGGTAGTGTTATCGACTGCGGACCCAGCGGTCGTGAGTTTCTCGAAAAGTAAGTTGTTTGGATATCTATGTTTAGAGTTCCGTGATTCTGTTTTTAATGACTACTTTCAGTTCTTATGATTCTAATTAGCAGTTTACCAACACGCGATGAGCGGCCTTGCCTTCTAACCCTCTCAAATTATAGAAAAAAAGGACACCATGTCAAAAATTCCTAGAAAAAGTACCGCAGATAATGTTTGCCGAGCACCAGCAAAAACATGTCCAAACACGATTTTTTTATACAAATTTGTTTTAAATTTTAGGGCACTTGCTCTTTTTTTTAGAGCGCTTTAGCTTTAAATCAAAAAAAACACAATACATTCAAGAAAAATTGCCTTCAATTTAAAGAAATTTACCATTAAAATAAGAAGGTCACCATAATTTAAAGAAATAAATAAAGAAAAATAGCCCTCAATGCAAGACTAATACAAGCCTATTTTTAGAAAATTTTGCCCTTATTTTGTTACCCAGTCGCCATTGACCCCCGTTCTAGGGCGATTTTCTTTGTGTTTAGGGCGATTTTACAGTAAAATTTCTATGAGTGTACCCATGTGTCTATCGCACAACGGATTCCGCGGGGGCTTAGTTCAAATGCCATGATAACCGATACTTGAGTGCAGTTTGAAACTTGAACAATCAAAAAAAGCTTTTATCGGTATCAAAGTATACACGGTTGTTATCAAAATGACACTATTTAGGGTCAAATAGGATTTTTCATAAAATTTAGTATGTAGTAGATACTTGTTGGGATCAATTTGATCCTAGGTGTAGTGTCATTTTTACCCACACTCACAAAATTGACACTCAAAGATTTTTTTTAGGTGTAGTATTTAGAAAAACAATTTTATGAGTGTAGGGGCGCTATAAGCTAGTTGACGCTGTAGGCCAAGTGGCGGTATAGAAGAAGAAGATAGGTTGCACTATAGTCTAGGTGTGTTAGTAAAAACAGCAGAGTTGCTTTAAGCATTTCTCCAACCCTCTCGCACTCCCTTAAGCTGAGTAACAGTTATCTAATAGTCGAGCCCATCGACTGTAACGTTTTCTCTTGTTTAAACTAAATTCCTTAAATAGGTCTTAAAACAGAAACATTTAAATACTTTAAAAATATAGCATTTTAAATTAAAAATTCAATTTGTTAGTATTATCTTAATGCGTGCTGCCGTTTTGTATGTAAATGGTGTTTTTGCTTGGCTAAATGTTTGTCGTAAGAACAAGTCACATAATAATTAAAAAAATATATTTGTGAAATCGAAATAGAGCAGTTCTACCTGTATTTGTCGCCCACAGCCAGAGCAGTCATCAAAATAGCGCGCAGTTTTGCTATCGTTGGTAGACTCGGGACTGCTGGGCGGTCCGAAGGGTTCAGTTTTGAATGTTATACCCGAAGCCGTTTCGTCGCACACCTCCGTGCAATCTGTACGACTGCGGCTGATAGAGAATTTGGCCGCGGAGTCCTCAAAGGTAGCGTGTTCCGCTATTTCATAGCTGCAGAATTATGTATTATTACAAGGGTTAGAGATTGGTGAAAAAAGTATCTTTACCTTTTAAATGACTCCGAGCCGTAAACATTGCCAAATGGCTTTGTACTATGATCACAAACATCTGGACACGAGGATAGGGTGCATGCGCGGAACAATGGGTGATTGTTATCTGCACCTGCAGCACTGCCACAATGACTGCTCCCTTGATGTGCTACAGGTGGTGTTGGACTTTTATCCCTTGCGCCGGGCCCAAGAAATCTTGCGCTCTGCTGCTACATTTATCGGAAAAAAAGTTATATATGTAGATATACATTAAAAAATATGGGGGGTAATCCTACAGCCTAACAAAAGGCTTGGCTGTTTTCCAAAAATAAATGGGGGAGTCTAATGTTTACTTCAATAAAAAGAAAAGGGATTTTTCCAGTTTCCGAGAAAGCGCTGCGCGACATTTGAGAAACATCAACATATGAAAGACACCCAGCGTGTACCTAGTAGTCTTTTCGACGGATCCAGCTTATCTCGCACCATTCATTTCCAAGCCATCTAAGCCTGGACCTGTCGCCACGAGCCATCGACGCTCCAGCGTACATATTTTTGATTAGTTGGATATAAATTGAAAATGTTAGGCTATACATTTCCACCTACCCCTTTTTGGAATGCAAGGATTTCATTGTCAGTATAACTTTTGACTTATCACCACGCTTGGACCACGTACCTACTTTTAGTTGAACATTTATCGAGATTTGTATACTTATGAAAACCGGAATCGTTATGCTCATTTTGGATTCCCATTAGTCCCAAAGCTTCACCATGCTGATTAGTGTCGTTAGACCAATTTCGATAATAGCTATGAAAGCCACCTTTAACAAGGTGGTAGCACCATCTAAAAATATAAATAAAAAAAAAGGAAGAACTCTATAGTCGATTGCCTCGACTACCAGATAATCGTTACTCAGCTAAAGGAAGTAAAAGGGAGATGGAGATGTACAAGCAGCAAAGCGAGATTGTATTGCGCCACCTATCCGCGATCTCGATATATGGTTATGTGGGATTTAAGAGTTTTGGGCGCTAACGTGGGCGTGGTCAATCGACAGGTATTGACGATTCAAATACATTTCTGTTAAAATTTGTTTAGCAATAAAACTGCCCTGTCTTGCGCAGCTTGTGAGGGTTAGAGAGGGCGTGACATGCTCATGTACAAAGCTAAGGAACTTAAATCTAAAAACCCAATCCTCTATCTTTGCTATAATTGCCAAAAAAATAATGAACCAAATTTTAGGTCATGCATGCCCTAAAAATATAAAATGGACTAAAAGTTGTTTTTTAGGCCATGGACTTCCTAAAAATTTCATTTTTTTACTTTTTGCCTAACTTTTAAGGTTATCATGGGCTTAAAAATTATTGCATTTTACCTAAAAATATTTGAGAACTAAAAACCTTTTAAACTTAATATGTCTGTTATATATTGATATTGGACCTAACCAAATTCGTATATTACAAAATTAAACATTTTAGGCCAAAAAATGCCCTAAAAATTTGACATTTTTTAAAAAGCTTTAGTGCTTACTCGTGATAATAATAAAAAATTTTTATTTTAGCTTATCTCCCAAATAATATTGTATGTTCCTAAAACAAAAAAATCTATTTTGTCTGCGGTAGGAATCGATCCCGGGTCTTCCGCGAGAGAGTCCAATGCGTTACTTACCATGGTGCAATGGCTAAATGGATAAGGCGTCTGCCTCTGATGTAAAAGGACCCCGGTTCGGATACCCGCTAGGCCCAAAGCAAGTCAAAAGTTTTTAGGATACATTAAATATTGCCTTATCGATTTTAACTGTAAATTTTGTATTGAAAAATATATCATATTAAACTATTAGAAAAGAAAAATAAAATATAATGTTTTGAGCAGGACTTGAACTTTGAACCCCGAGAACGAAAATGTGCCGGGACGCTCCACTTATCTCCCTGAGCCGAGTCACTACGCCTCTGTATCTTGGCAAAATGCCTTTGTAAGTTCCAAGAAATTATTTTTGTACAACATATACTATTTTTATACCTCCTTCCTTCTTCGTGAAGACCTTCAAACCAAACCTGTTGCTTCTACGCCTCCCATTTTCAAATGTGAAACTCCGATTCCAACAGAGCACATCCACCATCTACCGTCCGATAACTGCTGATCTGGCTAATCGAACCAAGCCTGTTGCTTCTGAGCCTTCCATTTTCGATTGTTCCCTGTCACTGTTTACGTGTTCGTAGTGAATGATTCAATTTCCACTCACAAGAAGAAGACCTCAGAGTTGCGCCGAACAAACATCACCTTACTATCGCATAAAAGAGTCCGTCAAATTTCGATGGGCAACTAACTGGGAAATTTTCGGAACGGCAAAACCTTATAGACCATCCGTAGATGGATCTCTGTGGGAAGACGCTATTAGGCACCCAATTACCTAAAACCTAGGCCAAAATTGCTTACATCATTATTACATCATTAGTGACCTAAAATTTTAGGTGATGGAGTCTTAAATTGAAGGCCATACATGGACTAAGCTCCAGGTTTGGGCCAATTTTACCTAAATTCTATGCAAGTTTTGGGCAGTTTAGGTCATTTGTTTTTATGGGTATACTAACAAAATTGCAATACGATACTCCATTGCAAAGTTATGCAATTTAAATAAATTCTAGACCATTTTCAAATTAAGACAAAAAACTATGTTTGTGTTACAGTCCTGGGAAAATTGTTGTCGTATTAAACCTATTGATCTAAAAAACATTTGTTCTACAACATTTGCCAAACCCGCTAGCCTAGCGGTAAAGAAGCTAGAAATGGCTAAACTTACTACATAAGGGGCTGTCCATGTATTGCGTGCTCATTTGTTGTCAGGCAAAAGGTTATTGTTATAAGACAAATAAATAAATTTTTTTAAATTATTAAATGGGGGAGGGACGTTCAAAGATCGTCAAAAAATGTTAAGCGTTTTGGCACGCATTTTCCCACTTAATACTACTTTCAAAGAACAAAGTATTTGTCTTAAAACATGAACCTTTTGACCGACACCAAATGATTACGAAATATATGGACAGCCCCTAAATGGTAATATAGTAAGTGTGGTTGAAAATGACACTACACCTAGGATAAAATAATTGGGATCCTAAATAAGTTTCAAAAGTATACTACATTGTATGAAAAATCCTATTTGACCCTAAATAATATATATATATTATATATATTATATAATAATAAAATAATATCTTACATTTCCTTAATAACAAAGTTGCATTTAAAATGTTTTCAGATTTCAAATAATCGAGTACCTCGACTATCAGATACCTGTTACTCAGCTTAAGGGACCAAAGGGAAATGGAGATATGCAAGCACCAAAGCGAGATTGAAATGCGCCACCTACCCGTGATCTGAATATATGGTTATGTGGGCGGTAGACAGGTTAAAGAGTTATGGGCGTTAGAGGGGGCGTGGCTAATTTTTTGATCAATCGATAGATATTGACGAGACCAATACATTTCAGTTAAAATTTTTTATCTAGCATGCAAATTGTAGGCGCACAGACTTGGGCGGTTTGTGGGCGTTAGAGTAGGCTTGCCAAACTTTTTTTTTGGATCAATCGATAGATATTGACGAGACCATTTCAGTTTAGGCTGCTTGTGGGCGTTAGAGTGGGCGTGGCAAACAGACGTACATGGCTAGATCGACTTGGCTTGTTATCCTGATCAAGAATACGTACATTTAATGGTGTCGGAAACGCTTCCTTCTGCCTGTCGCATACTTTCCGACGGATGTAGTTTACTCTACGAGTAACGTGTAGAAATATTGAAGGAAAACGCCAAAAACACATGCAGGAGGTCAGTGCAGATAAAAAAGGAAATAATTGGCATGTTAGAAAAATTAACCCTAAAACATATTTTCTATGGCGATTTTTCCTATATTTAGGGTGTTTTTTCTTAATGTTAGGGCAATTTCATGTGTAGGCGGATTTTTCTAGTATTTAGAAAAATAGTTTTATGAGTGTAGAGGATCCCAGTAAGACATCTACCGGGCGTGTCCTCACAAAGTAAGTTCTGGACAAAAGAATTTGGTTACTTTGTAATATTAGAGTATCTCTTTAGCACAACCCCCAGAACTATCTCCAACGAGCTCTCCATTGGGGAAACTCAGGACTCCACCTCCACCAGCATCTTGGCAGCTAAAGCGCATATGGCGGACGCGCTGGCTTCTATAGGGAGGAGAAAAAAAGGGTGCCTGTTAAGGGGCATCTGGAAGAACCATTACCAGCCATTGTCAGAAAGCTGGTCGACTTCCTGCAGCATCAGGCGGAACAACCACGTTCCCAGTCCGGCTCCAACTTCCTGAAGGTCCAATATGCCTATTGGGATTCTGAGCTGGACTGCAAATGGCGCGGAAAAGATGGCGAAGTGCAAAAGTTAATCATTTCGAAAATAGGATCTGTTGTATTCTCATTTAAAATACGCGTCGAATGACAACTCAACTGTCAATATCGGATGCTCCGTTCAAAAGAAATACGCAAAACAAGATTTTTGGGGACTTCCCAAAATGAAAATTGTATTTTGTTTATCAGTTTGTCCCAAAACGATATTTTAGGGTCCTGAAAACCAGGGACGGTAAATATTGGTTATTGATCTCTTTTTTGAATAAAAAATCACTCGCTTAGGATCGACACACACGGAAAAGGAAAATACCATAGTGATTCTCTTTGGATTGCCTATCCGTTTTCACAAGATTTTAAAATTTTTAATTTTTTATAATATTTTTCAAAAATAATGATTATTTTTGAGTTTTATAATAAAAATCAAATATAATTTTGTTTTTTTGATCAAAATAGAACTTATTTTGAAACCACGGTTTTCCTGTGCCGATTTTTTGAATAAACTTACAAAAAGAACACAAAGGAGTGTCCTGAAAACCAAAATTGTTATACTGGCCTTCTGCCTCCTTGCAGATGATATTTTTGCTTTGGGCATTCTTCAAAACAAATGGGACCAACTTAATATGTAGAGGATTAGCTTCTACAGATTGTGTGGACCACACTCAACTTAATAAAAGACATTGAAAACAAGAAAGGAAGTTAACTTCGGCAAGCCGAAGCTTGTATACCCTTGCAGTTATATTTATTAAATAGTATATATGTCAGAAAACACCGAAGCTATAATTTGATTCATTTTATTTTCCCACCAATTTTCGTATCGCTCCTATGGCAGCTATATGATATAGTCGTCCGATTTTGATAAAATTTTTATT